AAAGGGGGGCAATAAATTATTGGTATGATTTGAAGCGTTTTGAGTTGGTAAAGAGCTATTTGTTGAAGTATTTTCATCCCCTGAAAGAAAGCAAAGTCTGCAGGTGGATTATGCAAGGAAATTATCAATTATTTACAGCGCTTCACGGCTCTCCTGCGAGGGTAATAATAGGGCCCATATACGAAAGAAATAAGCTACTCTAGATAAATATCCTCCAACTAAAAAAAAAATGATAAAACAATTAGGAAGTGCTTACCCTATCTCGCCGCTAAAATCAATGCGGCCGCTTTCATCTCTTTTTTTTTCCTGCTGCGACAAGGAGTTTCTGCAGGGAAGAATGAGTTGCATACGAATGAAAGGGATGGGAAAGAAGATAAATATGAGAGATAATCTGAGAAAACATATTTTTCCTTCAGGAGAATGGAATAAAAAAGATGTTTTATGTATAAAAGATAAGTCAGATTTCACAGATTTTTTGAAAGCGTGCCGGTATTATATTTTTTGGTTACTCACATTTTAAAGGTTTTTTTAAGGTTAGTTTTTATTTTCTTTATTTTAAGTTAAAGTAAATTATTTGTTCTTAAGATTTTTTATATCTGGGGAGTTTTATAAAAAGGTTTGTTTATATTTACAATTATCCCTGAGTGTTTATTAACGTCGCATTATAAAGCAACACTTCGGCTATTCGAGACGTATCTCTTAATTTTGAATCATGGACAAGTAATGAAGACGACACGTGAGCTGTCACCCCACCCTCTTCTCCGAACTTCTACACCACGCCAACGTAAAAACTTTAAGGCTCGACAGATTGAATGTGTATCAGACCCGTTGCAAGAAGGATTTTTAGTAATATCAGTAAATAAACTCACGATTCCATCGAAACAATGCTGGCCCCAAATTTGTGACATGACCACTCGACTACCCGACTACTAGAATTTTTGAAATATATAACTTAGAAGTGGGTTTATCCACGTTTTACGACACAACAGAGGGGAGACATTTTAAGAAAAAAATGCCGATAATTGTTTCAATGGGTTGTAACTGAAAATAATGTGAATTTTTAAAAAATCATAATTGAGCCTCTGAACAGAAGTCTGAGCTATATACAGGCAAAATATTATTATAATAGAAGCATTTTTCACAAAAGGAGAACATTTTGAAAAAAAGGTTATTCAAAGTTTATTTTTTGCCGAAATATTGCATTAAAATAATTTTTTTGTCACAATGTCCTTAAAACAATTTTATACATGTATTCTCTAATCTAAGTGACACTAAATATCAAGGAAATTACCCATTTATGCGCTTTTTAAAATCGCTGTTTCGAACGTAGTCGGATACCTTAAGATTTATCTAAGTATTTGTCTTTTAAAAGTTATTTGTACTTTGATTACTTATGAGCACTATTTACAAAGTAATGTGGAGTATCATTCGAAGGAAGTATGGTATGTAATACAGAAATCTTTAAAAGAAATTTTTATCATAATGAGTTAGAACAGGGATCGGTAACTTATAGCACGCGTGCCACATATGGCACGTGGTACAATTCTCGGTGATACTCTGCACTACCCTTCAAATTTGTCGATATTTGAGTGGATGGAAGTTGATAAATTTGAAATGGACCTTATTCGATAAAGCCATTTTCAGAATATTTACGGAATTACGAAAAAATCTGAAAGGTAACTCTGAAGATAAATTTTCAGCCATTTTGTAACTTATTGAATGTCCTTGCTGGATAAATTTAATTGTTTGAAGAGAGAAAATTGCATGTATTCTACTTTCCGCATTTGGCTCTGCAAATCTAAGTAAAAAGGCTTTCCACATATGTAAAGTGTATTTTAAGTCCGCAAAGAAATTATTTAACAACTGAATGCTCAGAATCGTATTAAATTGAAATTTACAGATTATACCCTTGATTTTATTATATGCAAATAGAGCGGTAAAAGCATTGAATTCACATTAAAATTTGTATCTTTTTATTTAACTATAATGAAGAGAAATACTTATATTTTATGTTGTCTATTTCTTATTTTAATAAATAGGTTTAAAAATACTTAATATATGTACAATTTTAATTTTTTATTTTTATTGAAGAAATAAATACAGTCGGACCTCTATATAACGAAGTCACTAAATCCCGGAAAAAAGTTCGTTATATGGAAAATTCGTTCTATAGACATTCATCTTTTAATATACTTTATGAACCTCATAAAACAAATTTTAAATTCATAAACACTATATATTTAAAAAGTAATTATTCACACCTTTTTTTAAATTAGCATATGTTTATTTTTTATATCTTGCCCATCAAAAAACAAAGAAAGAAAGAAAAACTGCAAGGAAAACAAGAAAAAGAAATGTCGAAGAATTCACTGTATTTTCAATATTAAGAAAATAATTTTATACTAAAATTAATGAATTTTAAGGACATTTTATAATTTAAAGCTTACAAGTAGTATTAAACATATATTATTTTATAATTAGATCACGGGGACACGGAACAACTGCACTGAGGATGAAAGAGGATATCGAAGATGTTTCTAGTGAACTGGTCAATGGAGGTTAAAGGTTGTACTTCTTAGATGAAACGTCCAGGACTCTGTTGCTCTCAGCGACTTAGGATTCAATAAAACCAGTTCAAGGCTTATGACCACCATACAATGTGTTAATGAGAGAATAACTTGAAATTTTTTCAGGAATACTTTAAAAAAAGGTAGAACAAATATGAATCACAAAAGAAAAAGTTCGTTTTTAGAAAATGCACTTAGCTATAGAGAAGTTATTTTACAAAAAAAATCGGGAAATGTTCAAGATTCCAGGAAAAAGTTCGCTGTATAGAAAAATTCGCAATATAGAGGTTCGTTATATAGAGGTTCGACTGTATATTTTATGTTGTCTATTTTTATGTTAAGAGATATTTTTAAAGGATGTATAAAATTAAAATAACATGTTTCAAACATGTGGCACACTGAATCATAACGGTAGATTGGTATGGCACATTAGAAGTAAGAAGTTGCCGACTCCTGAGTTATAACCAAACAGCGAATACTGCAAAACATATTCAAAAATTACCAATGTTTATTCATAACAAACACTCGTACTCATATATAGCAATATTGTACGCTGATCGCCTTCAAAACAGTCTATATATTTCTGTCATATTCTGCCAGAAGACCGAGCTTCGCCACACAATTTACCCAGTGATTCTGCCACTGTCGGAATATGGCGAAGAAATCTTTTTGAGGTTACGCGTAATTTGTCTGACGCTGTCTGCATGAACTTTTTTCTAAATTTAAATCAGGTCTCTTTTTTGTTCTTGGGAATCGTCAAGCATTACACAACATTAAATGCGCAGCGTTATTCATTTGGTTGTTGTATTTTGTTAAATATCTGCCCAAAAATTTTTAACACGTCTCGAGCAATCCATTTCTGCGTTCCAATTTATAATTTATTTTTCCATATGTTGCCACAACTTGGAGGTTGTAAGTATAGTTTGGGTCATTGAAGAAGCAGACATTGTTATGAAAACAAGTAATATAAAAAAAAAAAAAAAAAAAAAAAAAACTAAGTCAATTCCTACTTAGATCAACAAAGAAAAATTTTATTTTTTAGCTACTTTTTATTAAATAGTTACAACTAATATAAATACGTATATACATAGGACAGAATCACAACATTAAGTGGTCATTAATTTTTATTCATTATCAATAAAGTATCGTATTCTCATCCAAAACAATCAGGTATATAAAATTTCAGTTCAACTGAATGCTTTAAAACGTGAGAAAAAAACCTTTTTAAGTTTTGACAAAAGTCGCCAAAAGGGTCGCTAAGTCTCCAAAAATGATGCCAACGTGGTTGTATTTGTAATTCTTTAAATAATTAGTTTTAGTCAATTAATTTTTATTAATTATTATTATATTATATTGTATTTTCATCCAAAATAATCATGTACATAAAATTTCAGCTCAATGAAGCGCTTTAAAATGTATTTTATTAACGATTGAAAATTCCACCAAGATAAATAAATAAATAAATGTATAGAGAGTGTGAGCTAATAGTAGGAATTGAATAATTTTCTTTTTATTTATGATTAATCCAAGTTAAATAGCCGTGGGAGCAATCCTAATCTAAGATTATAAGATTATCAAATGTACGCTTATTTCTTGACCCACTTGTAGATCACTTGTCTGGTCTTTCCTACAGTTATTCTCAAATCAGCTTCTCTATTATTTCTACTTCTTCGATTGGTTGTTCTAGCTTGGATGATAGCTTAAGAACGATCGACGACTAGCTACTCACAATTAACGATCCACGATTAACTTTAACACACCCCTTGCCATGGTTTAAATAACATTTACATTAGTATAAAATCAAGTCATTTCTACCGAAGGCGGTTTTAAACTCAAACCACAGTTAAAGAATAATTTGTCCATTGAAGGACTACGGATAGAACCGATCACAATGTTGCCGTAAATATGCTCGTGTTTAATCAATGTTTTATATTTAATGTGATTCTTTCTAACATATTGAAATTATTCTGGTACTATAGAGATAAATGGATCTTCAGCATTAGAAAGTCACTTCAATTTTCAACTTGTCTGGGTAGTGAAGTGCCAGTTCAGTGCCGTTGTCGTCACACGACGAGTTTTAAAATTACGAGTCCCTTCGGCGACCCCCTTGTGTTGCTTTCAAATGCGACTTTAAAGAAACAATTAATTCATCGACACTCACTTAAGTTCTGTTCAAACTAATTGATTGTAAATCGTATTTTTACTTTTCATCACTATTTTAATGTTGTTGTTATCGTGTGTTTTTTATCCTGGGAACATGAAACACACAAGTGAAGAAGAACAGAAGGCATACAATACAATAGAAGTATATACACATTTATTATAGATGATTATCCCACAGCATATAACATGAAGGGGAACGCTGCTTTCCTTTCGAGACGGGAATCCATTGCAGGCGAAAGACCGACTTCTTTCCCGAAGAAGATACAACCATGTCTTTCTCGGGATTCGAACCCGAACCCACTCGGTTACAAGCCGAGGATCATAGCCAACTGGCTGGGCGACATCACTATTTTAATTCAAACAGGTTTTAAAAATTGTGAATAAAACACAATAAACGACAATGTTCGATCAAATGTAAGTAAGTGTTTTAAGAACGGCAGATGAGACACACAAATTTTGCTGTAACAACTACGCTAAGTTATTTAGTGTTTAAATAATTGTTTGTCGTCATTTATGTTCTTCTTCTGGCAAAGGGGCGTAGTTGGTTAGGTGCTGGCCCTGTATGCCCAAGGAATGCTGGTTCGACTCTGGCCTAAGTCAATGCATTTTCATGATGCAAAAAATCGACAGCGTCCATGTCGTACAATTATTCGGCATGTAAAAGATCCTTTCAGTGCCAGTTTGGCTTGGGTGCTCTCTGCAAAAGTAAATTCCTAGAGCAATTTTTCGCATCGTCAGAGATCAGATGCCTACCTCTGGGGAAGAAACTGGGCGTTAAGATTACATTGTGGCAATTGCTATTCATCTATATTTTGCCGCACAAAAAGTGATACCAGTTCCCGGGGAATGTACTAGGTTTGAAATTGTTAAAAATACCGACTCGCAGCTTCATTGAAAATTTTTAAAAAATGTTCTTCATATGTCTATCTATTTCATCGCTAACATGATCAGTAAAAAAGAGGAGCGCAACAAAAACCGGTTGATTCAAAATTAGTGTGACCAATTTTAAAAGCATGTAACTATGAAAGGTACATTTTTATCTCTTTGCTGCCAGCTATATTAAAAAAAAAGGAAATATTTAAAATACCAATCTTTATTAGTAAGAATATAAGTTATGGCTCCAAAACTAAATCAACAAACCCGAAACGAAATTTTAAAGCTTTTGAAAGATGTTTGCTTAAATTCTGTTATAAATAAAGCCTACAAACATCAGAAAAGACCTTTTGCTAATGGATTACTATCTAAAATTCGAAAAGAAATAAAATTTAGCTTGCAATCAAACCTTCCCCTCCCCCCCCCAAAAAATGTGGATGAAAGGGAGTCCATAAGGGAGGAGAAAAATGAATCCTACGCTTATTTTTGTTGAATTTCCTCTGCCATATAGATCTTAAGCAAAAAAAATACAGGTATCGCAATCGACAATTTGTCGTCAGATAAAGAAAATTGGCTATAAAAAAAGTGAATAAACCAGTTTATCTTCAAATATCTGTTAAGACCGTAGAAAAACGAAGAAAACGTTCTTGGCCTTTGTATATAATGTTGCGCAAAGGTATATACAAAGCATGGATAACTTGGGATGAAGAACTGTTTCATCTGTCATTCACAACTGGCAAAATGAAGATACAACGAAGAATACACGCAAAAAACGTCACAAAGCGTAGCTGTTTGGAAAAATGTAAGTTGGCCGTCGAGTGTTATGATATGAATGGGAATGTCCTCTCAAGGATTATCAAAACTACTTTTTGTAGAACCAAAGGCTTAAACTAATGCTACATACTATCAAAATAAAGCAAGCTTTGGTATACTTGATCAATAAAAGCGAACTTTATTCTCAAGGAAACTTTGTTTTTCACCAAGATTTTGCACCAAGTCATACTGCAAAATCAACTATAAAATGGTTGAAAGATTAAAAAATAAATTTTCTGCCACCTGTAAGAAATGGCTACCACTATCTCTGACTGTGTTCATAGAGATTATTTTTATATGGCATACTTAAAAAAAACCAATTAAACAGACCTAAAGTAAGAACAGTCCAAAAAGACTTCAAAAAGCAATCAAAGAAGTATTTGGAAAAATACCATAGCATACGACTCACAGTCACCCTTAATATTGGTCCTCGGCACCATGAGAATCCAAAGGTACGTTAGCGACATTTTTCAGCCACATGTATTGCCACCATGGCAGGTCTCCTTCGAGTCATTTTTCAGACGAAAAATGCTCGCACATACACATCAAGGGTTTCCCAGAAAAACTTCCTTTACATTTCCACCCTTCCCGACCTGCTCGATCTTCAGATTCGTTACCAATCGAACCTATCTGGGGTAATTTCCGGGTGGTAAGTTGAACAACCTACAAGTTTGGTTGAATTGGAGGCGCGTTTACAGCAACACACAATAAAACTAGATGTTGCAGGACGTCATACAGGATTTGTATGTCTCAGTGCCTTGCGGTATTACATCATACATTTATGCTAGAGGCGGCGCGTGAGTGAGTGAGTGAATGAATATTAACGTCACACTGTTCAGGTACACGAGGGTTTTTGGCGACGGACCACGTAATTTTGAACCATGGTCAAGTGACGTGGACGTCACCTGAGCTGGCACCCCCCTCTCCTAACTACCAAAGCTCTCGACAGATTTAACGTACATCGCTGCCTTACACTGTGGGTCTTTTAGTGGTACTGGGCTCCAGCTAGAGGTGGTGCAACAGATTACTGAAGTTTTCATTCATTTGTAATTTTTTCTACAATAGCTGATCATTTTGCTTTGATTTTTAAATCTCTTACAAAAATCTTGTACTTACCTATGTAAATTTTAATTTTATTCTGACTATAATCTTTCTTGGTGCACAAATTTTTATGTGGTAATAAGGAACTCCCAATGTTTTTTTCAAATTTATTTTTAATGAATTGTTTTTAATTCTTGCTGAAAGAAAAGCTTGTGTGTGTGTGTGTGTGTGTGTGTGTGTGAAGAAGCTAAATATACCTTGATATGCATCCAATAGTAGAAAACAGCTCCTGCTCATGTTTAGAAAAGGATTGCTGTATTTGGCGACATCTTATGACAAAATTTAAGAACGGGAATTAAGAAAATTCCAAGGAGAGGGGTTTATAGATAAAAAAAAACTTTCCTTTTCTGAACTATTGGACCTTCAGACATGAAGTCTGGTAAATGTGTTTCTTTGTTTGAGTGGAAATCCGCAACGAAAGAATTTACGGAAGTAGACACGCAAGGGAGGGTTGTAGGGGCGTTATAGACAAAAATAATATAAAAAAATAGTTTTTGAGTCAATTCCTACTTAGATTAACAACGAAAAATTTTATTTTAGCTACTTTTTATTAAATAGTTACAATTAATATAAATATATATATACAGAGGACACAGAATCACAACATTAAGTGGTAATTAGTTTTTTTAATTATCGTTGAAGTATCGTATTGTCCTTTTAATTTCAGTCCAACTGAATGCTTTAACACGTGAGAAAAAAACCTTTTCACAAGTTTTGACACAAATCGCCAAAAAGGTCGCTAAGTCACCAACGTGGCTGTAATTGTAATTCGTTAAATAATGAGTTTTAATCAATTAATTTTTATTAATTATAATTAAATTATTGTATTGTCATCCAAAATGATCCTGTATATAAAATTTCAGCTCAATGGAGCGCTTTAAAATGTATTTTATGAACGATTGAAAATTCCACCAAGATAAAAAAATTACAAGTATATATATAATTAAATAAATATACAAATATATAAATAAATAAATATCTAGACAGTGCGAGCTAATAGTAGGAATTGAAAAAAAGNTCTCGTTTTTTAACTATTAGACCAACAGATTTGAAATTTGGCATGCATGTTTCTTTTGATTTAAATAGATCCGCTAAAAACTGATTTTGCTATTAAAAGGGTATAAAAGATAAATATATTTTGTTTTAAAAACTCAAGTTCTGTTTTTTTAAATCAAGAGATGAGGACTATAAAAATATTTTTTAAGTACAAACGAAAGCTGAAAACTAAGACTTAGATAACAGTAACAAATATATATAGCCATACATTAAAAATATGGATAACGGTTAGTTATTTATGAAACGTCTGGCAAAAAATATCATTTATGATGAATTTAAAGCAATTTTTTATATGAATTATTGAAAAATATTTCACTTTATATAGCGTTTGGTACCAAAGCTACCTTTCAGTAGTATGTATCAACTATTGTATAATATAGTAATATTTCTTCGGCCAACCCTATACAAATAGTTTAAAGCGGACGTCAGCTATTTCTGCGTTGAAAATTTACAGTCGTCGTCACTTCGAATATCTGCGTGATACGTTAAACCCGACGTCTTCTATTAAATCCAAGCCGATGCTATAAATCTGTTTCAGTATCGACGTGGAGTATTAGGGTTTCCTCGGCGGGAAGGAAATCCTTCTGACTTCACTTCGGAATCTCCACCCAATCTGGCGACTTATTTCCATATAGTATATTTCGAACCATAAATCATGCCAATGCATACGTCAGCCAACAAATACAACGATGTTAAAAAAAAATTATTAATTTTTGCGATAAAAAGTTTTAGTATGCTAATGATGTGTCAAAGTCGTTGCAATACAATATTCAAGGAATGTTATATGTACTTGTTCATCAATCGGTGTCAAGAATTTTTTTTCTTACCGGATTCAATAAAGTGCAAAACTTTTTTATATGATTTTAAGATAAAATAGCCCAGAAAAATCCTATTTTAGTCACTGATATTTTGGCACTAAAAATTTTGGCCAAGTAAATACAATATAAGGGAAATACAACGTTTTTCAAAATGGCTACTGGGAGGAAAAACGTAGGAAAAAAGGTGTTTTCAAATTGGTTTCGAAAAGAAAGACAAAAAAAAAAAAAAAATCCTGGCTCTCTACGTTTTGGACATTTATATTGAAATGCTATAAATCATTCATTCATACGCCAATCAGTCCCTTCTTTCTTACTCTTTTCATTCAGAAGAAAGAAAAACCCAGTTGCGGTTCATTTTCAGCAGAAATTCTAAAAAACCGGTATCCTTACAAAACAAACCTTACAAATTGACCATTGGGCTAAAACTGATCACTGTCCGATAAATGGTAGAAAATACCAATCCTGGTAGAATTGGCGTAAAATTTCTGCAAAAAAATTGGCACCAAATTTTTGTCGCAGAATTAGGAGGCTCAAATAGGATCCAACCTAAAGCCCAAGAAAATTTTTTCTCTACATGTCTGATTTACTGTAAGATTTATGATCACAGATTTTTATGCGAGAAAAATAAATAAAATTCTTTAATTAATTGCTAGTTTAATTTTGGAAAATTTAAGCTTCATC